TGCTTGTTTTTTTGTTTGTTTCTTTAGGCAAACAACATGCAGATCTACAGCTTCTGGCTTGAATACAGTAAGATTTTTACTATATTTATGGAGGCATGAGGGGCCCAGGGGGGCTAGATGGTGGTGTTAACACTATAGGGTCAGGAATACATGTTTGTGTTCCTGACCTATAGTGATCCTTTAAATATCTTGTGCACAAGCCAAACTTCTACAATATGCAATATTTGTGTGTGAAAGCAGGTGTATAATGTTTATATTTGTCTAAACATGTCATCCAATAATTTCTTGTTGTGCAGGGGTAGCCACAACAATCGTAGCGCTGACGGTTGCCTATCACAGTGGTAAAGTAATAAAGAGGGTATTAAACTATAGAACAACCTTAAAAAGGTAAAAATAAAACCAATACAAATGTTATTGTCAACTATCCGATCTCTTTTCAAGAGTGAAAAAGATCTTGCATGTGATCTTTTTCAGCTAGTCATGTTGAATCAAAATATGAAGACTTTCAGAAAAAATAGGAATGAGCAACACAAAACTGCAACAAGAAAACAAAACACTAATTGTGTTCTGAGTTCTATTGCGACAATGAGCAACTAAATGTATTTTAAAGGAACACTATAGTTTTAGGGATACAAACATGTATTCCTTTCGTTACAGTGTTCTCACCATTAAGATTTAGGGACACTCAAATGAAACTAAACAGTTTTACATACATTGCACGGAGGCTCACTCCATGCAGCAACCACCCAGTGTCCCGCATTATATTCCTGCAGAGGTCTTTTTGTCTTGTAGTTTAATCCAATACTCCCCGTGGCAATATATTGAGGGCAAGAAGCATGTGTGGCACCATGCGCCCCCAATCAAATGTTTCTCATTAAGAAGAATGAATCTAATGCATCTCAATGATAAGCATCAGAGGATGTTCAATTCCATCATGAAATGTGTCAGGACGTTGAATGACACTCAGAGTATTACTCTGTTGAAGAAGTGAAAGCACAAATGGTTTTTCCTTGCAGGACTAAAATGACAGGCCAAATGCATCCAGACCACTTCATTGAGATTAGGTGACCTGGGTGACTAATATATTTTAGATGGCTTTATTGAGCTGAAGTGGTCTGGGTGCCTATAGTGGTGCTTTAATACAGTGGTTTTGGTGCATAGATGGCCCTTTTCTAACAAACAGCAATGATTTCATTTGACAGAAAAAACACCCTTCAATGACAGTAAGATTTTCAAAGCTCTTCGCATTTGCTATTATTATGCTCAGAATGAGGACGCAGAACATAGCTAGTGCTTCTGAAATACTGCATTCAATGCATCTCTATCACAAGCACTAGATTGGCAGATCAAAGAGATTGCCACACATGTGCCATAGGTCTGCAATGCATCTTTCTGAGAAGCATTAATGATGACACAGTATTCCTATCAGGCTGCAGAGAAGAAACTGTCTTAGAAATGGATTACAGGTAAGTTTTATATCCATTTCACTGTAGGACCCAGTTAGCTACAAAAAGGAACACAAACAATACAAATTATTACATTTATTTTGAATGTTAGAACATTATTTTAACATGAAAGGTTTTTGAAAGATATGAGTCTCATTTGTAAAGACACTTGAGTTTAACGGAACACTAGTCACCAGAACAACTATAGCTTATTCTATTGGTTCTTGTGAGTATAGTCAGTCCCTGCAGGCTTTTTGCAATAAACAGTCTTTTTCAGAGAAAAGGTAGTGTTTATATTACAGCCTCAGGACACTTTCAGTGGCCACTCCTCATACGGCCACCGGATATGCTTCCTGGGGCAGTGCTACACCTCTGCATGGAAACACTGAATTTTCCTCATAGAGATGCATTGTATCAATGCATCTCTGAGTAGATGCTGACTGAATTTGGCTCCACCACCATTGCGCCTCCTTGACGGAGACCATCAGATTTGACTCTCTCAGCCAATCCAATTATTTCCTATAGGAAAGCATTGTGATTGGCTGAGATCATCACTTCTGGTGATCTCAGCCAAGGAGGTGGATCGGGAGCAGACTAGAATAAAGGTAATAGTAATAATAAAATATAATAATGTTATATTTAGGAGGGCAAGTGGGGTTACATAGTGATTTTAACACTATATGGTCAGGAATACAAGTTTGTGTTCCTGTCCCTATAGTGTTTCTTTAGCATAAAGACAATCTTTACTAACAACTCACTCAGAAAGAAGGGGGGGGTGGGGAATTATATATCTCAAAATATAAGGCCTACATTCTCCTATGCACAAGAGGTATGGACAAAAGGTGATACTTCTTGCCATTTTCTACCAGTGGCTGCAAGAGATGGATTATGGGACAGGCATGTCCTAGCAAGATTCTTCTATAGTCATGGGGAGAAAAAAATAAGTACACCCTCTTTGATTTTTAAGGTTTTACATATCAAAACAATCATCTGTTCCTTAGCATATCCTAAATTAGGTAAATACAACCTCAGATGAACAACACATGACTTTTTAAACTGTGTAATGACTTAATAAAAATAAAGCCAAAATGGATGGAATTAAGAGGACAAGTAGCAGACAGGGGCTGCTAATCAAAGTCCCTTGATTAATTGATCATCAGTAAGTGTGACCAACTCTATAAAAGCCGACATTTTAGGTGTTTGCTAGTCTGGAGCATTTAAGTTAGCACAATGCCACGTAGGAAAGACATCAGCAATGATCTCAGAAATGCAATTGTTTCTGCCTATCAAACTGGGATGGGTTATAATCCATGTCCAAACAATTTAAAGTCCATCATTCTACAAGGAGAAAGGGCATTCAAAATGGAAAACATTCAAAACAGTTGGCGATCTTCCGAGGAGTGGACCCAGCAAATTCTCCCCTAAGATCAGACAGTTACAGTGTTGCTTTCACATTTTATCCGAATAACATAAACCCACAATAATCTAATCAAGGCTCATTTACCATGTTAAAATTCATGACAGTACAATTACAAAAAGATGGAACAATTATGGTTTGTTTGGAATGGTTGCCAGGAGAAAGTATTTTCTCTCTAAAAAGTACATAGGCTTAGGTTTGCAAAGCTGCATCTGAACAAACCACAATGCTTCTGGAACAATGTCCTTTGGAAAGACAAGTCCAAATTGGAGATGTTTGGCCATAATGCACAGCCCCACGTCTGGCGAAAAAAAAAAAAAAAACACCTATCAGTACAAACACCTCATACAAACTGTCAAGCACAGTGGTTGAAATGTGATTTGGGCTTGTTTTGCAGCCACAGGACCTGGGAACCTTGCAGTTATTGAGTCAACCATGAACTCCTCTGTAAAGCCAAGTGTTCTAGAGTCAAACGTTAAGTCATCTGTCCGACACCTAAAGCTTGGCAGAAATTGGGTCATGCAACAGGACAATGATCACAAGCGCACCAGCAAATCTACAATACAATTGCTGAAAAAGAAAAGAATCAAGGTGTTGCAATGGCCAAGTCATCAGCCTGATTGAAATGCTGTGGCGGTACACGAAGAGAGTTGTGCATAAACAAAATGGCAGCAAACCTCAATGAGCTGAAGCAATGTAAGACAAAATTTCCACTACAACCATCACCTTTTTCTTTAAATGGAAGCCTCCACTTGATGTGCACATACATTTTCAGTTTTAAAAACTTTGTGAAGAAGAACATAAAAATCACACCATGCACAAGTCTTAAAATACATGAAACATGGAAAACAATCCTAAACAAAAAAAGTTATAATTACACTATATAATGAAAAGTGAGTGTGTGTGTGTGTGTGTGTGTGTGTGTGCGATGAGCTAGTGAACTGCATATCACATGGCCTATTCATATTTCTTACATAATAGAGCAGTGTAACTTTATAAAAGAAGGTCTGTGTTGGTTTCGGTTAATAACAGATTTGCTAAGAAATCAATTTGTGCCTAAACATCTGTGAAAATGGAGAGATAAATGGGGGCCACCCCAACACAAACTGAAAACGAGTTACACACATGTTAAACTTTGGAGGGATGTGAAAAGAGCAAGAAAAAAGTAACAGAGCTAATGAAAAAGTTGATGATAAAATTAGTTTTCAAACAGCTGATTTAATACTTTGAAGAATTAGTTCTGAACAACAAAGAGGGTCTTATGTCTCAGATAAAAAAAGGTCAACAATGATGGCATATTATACGTCAATGGGCAAATTAAATATTCTAATTCAATGGAGGGGTTGGAATGCCTTGGCAATGTAAATAAGGACTTAAAAAGCATTGCCTTGTCTCATGGCTTCAAAACAATTTGGTTAAACTGAGAAACAATAAAATGGATATATATTCGGAAATTACATGAAAGATATACTTTGTGGTGGTTTACAATATACTTTTCAAAGAAATTATCTTTGACATCAAATTTAATTATTGTACTAAGAAAATTGATTTGAGTCATTAATTCATACATCACTTGAAATATATTAAGTGTATTTCTCTTAAGTTTCTTAAATTATTTCCACCAATTGATTTTTTTTTTATATATGAAAAAAATGCAATCCAACAAATGCATGTATTTGATGTTACAGGATAAAATCTTTGTTGGTTCTTTTCAAAATCAGAACTGCACATTTAAAGAAACATTTTAAGCAATTTAAGTAGTCAAGTCGTTTCAGAATGGTTAGACTTCTTACCTGTGTTATATATATATATTTATATATAATAAAAAATTAAATATGTAAATACGTTCAAAAATAAAATTAAAAAAATAATTAAAATAAAATAAAAAATATATAGGTGTGTTATTTCGTTCTAACTGTATTGTGATATTAATATATATATATATATATATATTTATATCAAAATACACGTAGAACGAAATAACATCTATATACATAAATATATATGTATATATCACTATATATATATATATATACACCTATATATAAATAAAAATATTTATTTTTTTTTATATGTGTGTGTGTATGTGTATATATATATATATATATATATATATATATATGTGTATATATATATATATATCTGTATGTGTGTGTGTATATATATATATGTGTATATATATATATATATATATATATACACACACACACACACACACACACACACACATATTAATTCTACATATATATTTATGTAATATTTTTACATAATTAGGTATCTTAATTAATTACAATTAGCAGGACCTGCCTGACAACCCTTGCCGAAAGTAAAGGGAATTTAATTTGCTAGCACTATATTTAACCCTATAGCTTTCCAAGACACCATAAAACCTGTACATGGGGGGTACATGTTCTACTCGGGAGACTTCGCTGAACACAAATATTAGTGTTTCAAAACAGTAAAATTTATTGCAACGATGATATCGCCAGTAAAAGTGACTTTTTTTGCATTTTTCACGCACAAACAGCACTTACACAGACGATATTATTGCTGCGATACTTTTTACTGTTTTGAAACGCAAATATTTGTGTTCAGCGAAGTCTCCCGAGTACAACAGTACCCCTCATGTACAGGTTTTATGGTGTTTTCAAAAGTTAAAGCGTCAAATATAAGGCTTGTGTTTCATTTTTTTCACATTAAAATTCACCAGATTGGTTACGTTGCCTTTGAGACCCTATGGTAGCCCAAGAATGAAAATTACCCCTATGATGGCATACCATTTGCAATAGTAGACAACCCAAGGTATTGCAAACGGGGTATGTTCAGTCTTTTTTAGTAGCCACTTAGTCACAAATACTGGCCAAAATTGGCATTTTTTGCATTTTTCAACCCACAAATACTAACGCTAACTTTGGCCAGTGTTTGTGACCAAATGGCTACTAAAAAGATTGGACATACCCCATTTGCAATACCTTGGGTTGTCTACTATTGCAAATGGTATGCCATTATGGGTGCAAATTTCATTCCTGGGCTACTATAAAGTCCCAAAGGCAACGTAACCAATCTGGCGAATTTCAATTTCAAATGTAACGTGCTATATTTGACCCTGTAACTTCCCAAAACGCCATAAAACCTGTACATAGGGGGTACTGTTTTACACGTGAGACTTTGCTGAATACAAATATGTGTATTTTATTGCAGTAAAAGCAAACCGTATTATGACATTGACAGTTAAAATGTCATGTAGAACTAAAAAAATAAAAATAAATCTTATTTTCTCCCATTTTTTTCATATTAAATTATGTTTCATAGCTAAATATTTGATATTAAATGAAAGCCCTGTTTCCCCTGAATAAAATGATATATAATAAGGGTGGGTGCATTTACTATGAAAGAGGTGAATTACGGTTGGACAGACATGTAGCGCAAATGCCAGGTTTTGTTTACATTTTGTTTCGTTCACAACGTGTACATTTGGCTCAGTCCTTAAGGGGTTAATACAGGCATCAACTACATGACATATCAAAGTGAATGTAGTGCCCATACTGTACCCTTCATTGTTTGTTGCTTTATTAGAGAGTAACTGTGAATAACATTACCATTTAACAGTTTGCTCATTATAACCCCAAATAGAACACGTAGAGCATATATTTTATGTTAAATTATCTTCAAGCAAATCTGGGAATCGAGATGCATCTCCTGAAAATGTTGCCTTCTGGCTATGCAAGAACACTATTTCTGTGTGCCCTGAGGGAGTCTAAATGAAAAACAAAAGTTTGCCAAGACCTGGATCACAAGCATGGAAGCCAAATTTATTTTTAACAGCAAAATGTCCTTCCAAAGCCATAATATCTCACGTAAAGTCATACCGAATAACCAAAGGGACATCATAACTCTCTGGAATATGGAGTTTGAAAACTAGATGCCATCAGTGCTGCATGTACAGCAATCTAGAGTTGATTACTATAACTATATCACAGATGCTTATTTAGGATGCTAATGAAATCTAATGGAATTATGTGGATATTATTGCATAAAAGGTGTTTTATTCTCTTTGGAGTACATGGTGCCAGCAAAACAAATTGAATAAAACATGTTTACAGCTAAACACCACAATGTGTTGATGCACAGTGCCATAAATATAATAAATCATACTATTACAGCTGACATTTTGCTTCTCTAAAAGTCCACAAAAGCTTACATTTCTGAAACACACTGTACTGTGTGTGCACATTCATTCATATGCAAACTTGCATTTTCATATAAACATATACATCCCACCAAAGCCAGCCCATAAGGGATATGTGGGTCTCTTGACACAGGCAAGACCTAGAGCATGAGTCATCAACCTGGTCCCTAGCGCCCACTAGTGGACGTCTCAGGATTCCAGGTGGGCGGTATTGGGTTTGGTGGCACAACAAGCTGAATCCTCCTTCCACTGAGTAGACGGACGGGCGGGCGGGCAGGCAGGCAGCCGGGCGCGAGTGCACAAACACACATGAACACGTACATCTGTGAATGCTTGCATGCCAACATGAACGACTGTAACACGTGGGAAGAGGAAGGGGAGGAGTGGGAGCTGATGCACGATAGCAGGGACAGGCAGAAGCAGAGCAGAGCACTTGTAAAATAGGAGAAAGAAAATTTATAGGCAGGAGAAGGAGAGAATTGTTGTTGGCTAATAATAATAATAATAAGTGGGGTAACTAACTCAGCCTTACTTTTGGACATTGACATAAGGAAGGTAAAAGAAAAGCATAAAAAATAAAATTAAAATAAAAAGATAAAAAGGAAAAAGAATTATTTTTATTTTAAAAAAGGTAAGAAAAACAGAAAAATGGGGATAAAATAAAGGAGGATAGAAAACTGTGTTTAAAGTGGCTCATGTTTTGGCAAGTTAAGTTTTGTTATCTTATAAAATAAAAGAAAGAAAGAAAGAAAGAAAATAAGAAGGAAAATAAGTAAAGGAAGGAGAAGGAGAGAATAAAGAGAAAGGGAAAAAGAGACCCCTGATATATTGATATGATATAAGGAGGGTAAAGAAGAAGAAGGCAGAAAAAGTAGTAACAACAAAAAAAGGGGGGGGAGATTTCTTTTTATGGTGACACATAATAAAAATTGGCAGCTAATACAGCGTTGTTTTGGGTGTTTGTTATAAAAGGGAAATGGGGGGGAAGCATCATGTGGAGTGCAGATCAAAATGTGGTAAGAGTAAAAGTAGTTGTTATATTGTGCAACAAATTTAGAACCCACATCTGAAAAAAAGAAATATGCTCGTGGCTATTTACTAGAGTATCTGAAGACACTTACACTTGGTGGGCGGTAAGGAAATTTTACCATCAAGAAAGATGCATTAGTGGGTGGTAGGTAAAAAAAAGGTTGACTACCCCTGACCTAGAGGGTGCAGGACTACTCACGGTTGGGGCAGTTTGTTTTATGTTTTATTCAATGTAGGAAATTCATTGTGGGTGCAGTGCGATGTCTTGGCGCATACCTGCATACCATGTGCTCAGAGTAATACTTCCACTCAAATGTATTTTATGTACACAGTTAACGGGTCATTTTCCTGAATATGGTCATTTTTTCTCTTTGAGCTGATATCGGAGATCCATTGCAAGGCAATGTAAGTTATTACAAAGAAAATGTGTGTAGGCTGCTGGTATCTTGAACACAGAGTTCCCATGCAGGTAATCAATAATTGGGTTGTTTGTGTAGTGTGAAATGGGCCACAAAATACATGAATTTATAAATATTTCAATCGTTAAAATACATGAATTTATAAATATTTCAATCGTTTTCTTCTAGCTGGAGAGAAAAATTATAAAAATAATAATAATAATAATAATAATAATGTATGTGGTCCCTATGAAGTCAGTGTACTGTAGAGAAACTACTATAGATTAAGAAACCCCTTCACAATGACCTAATGGTATATGGAATACAAGTTTCTTTTTTAGGTAAACAAATGGCAACAAGGCACAACAGCAGATGGGTACCAAAGACCTGGGCAATACGAATATGTCTTGCTGTTTTAAAACTGGGCAAGCGTTCAGTGCAGCTATTAATCTTCACAATGGGCAACAGAATTCATTAAGATGACCTTGGCAAAAAGCAAGATACAATCAGTACAAGTGCACCGAAACAGACTAGTCAATCACCATGCCAAGTAAATTCAGATTATAGTAAATATCTTTGTTTACGCATATCACAGAAAACCAACTTCGATGGTGGAGTCAGACGCTGTGCAGATTGAAAATTAAGTTAAAGTTTGTAAAACATCACATTATTAAAATATTGTTGATGCATAACACTCAGCATCATGAGAAGACATGTCAGGCTTTAACAGGTTTGTTTCCAGTTACATAATATTTCATTAACAATTAAAGACTTCTCCAGTACAGAGAGGATCTTTGATATTAGTAAGCCATATTTTAGTAAAGATGTTTCTGATGCTGACAGAAAAAAGTGTAAGAAGCAATTAGCAACAATAAAACAGGTGTGATAAGATTATAAACTAAATACGTGTCAGCAAACCGATCAGCACATATATTACTGATCTAAGAGTTAAGAGATTAGTTACTAAAAACAATGAGGAAATGGCATTTATGAAAATGTAAGAAAGGAGACAATTAGATCTGAGTGTAAAGGAGCAGGTAACACAGGCACTAGACTTGTACTTTGCAGAAAAACATATGGAGGACATGTTTCCTGTGTCAGTGTGGGAAGCTCACAAAACTGTTATCATGGGCTGTTTAATACAGATAACTACGAGAAAGAAAAGGGAAAACGAATGTCCGACCTTTCCTAAACTTATTACTCAGCATAAAAAAATCCCAGTTTAAGGGGATGTAAAGGGAGTTATTGGTAGCTAAATGTAAGTTAGCAGCGCTCCTAATGCACAAACATTACAGGTCAATTAAATACTCTAAAAGCTTTTTCTACACTCATGCCAATAAGGAAAGTAAGTTCCTTGCTCGAATGCTGTGGGGTCCACACACTGTGACCAAGATATTGCAAGGGAGTTAGGTTGTTGTATTCATCATTGTATAATATTACCAATGACTAACCAAATTTGTCAGAGGTCGATCGAACATCTAAAATTAAAAGTTATTGGCTAAAATCACGCTGGGTTTAGTTTCATGTGAGGTGGCGGAGATGTTGGATTTTCCGTTCAGTGAGAAGGAGATACAAGCAGCTATTAAGGCGGCTAAAATGGGCACCGGGTCTT